GCCACGGCCTCTCCAAAGAAGGAAAACGCTTGATCAAATTTTTTTTTTTTTTGTACTGGGGATTGTACTGGGGAACTCAGGGGCACTCAACCACTGAGCCACATCCCCAGCCCTATTTTGTATTTTATTTAGAGACAGGGTCTCACTGAGTTGCTTTGCGCCTCGCCATTGCTGAGGCTGGCTTTGAACTCAGGATCCTCCTGACTCAGCCTCCCCAGCCACGGGATTACAGGCATGCGCCATCACACCAGCTTGATTAATATTTTCACTGGACTAAAGGCTGCATGAATGCCTCAGGGACACTGAGTGCCTTACCCAAGATTGAGCCAGGAGCTGACATCCTTAAATCTACAGATTCATATAAACCCTAGACTATAGCCATCCACTGTCAACTCTCTCAGTTCCCCTCCCTGCTGCAGGAGCTTTGCTTTGCTTTAAAAAATGCTTATACTTGGCTTTCACCCACTAGCATCCATGAATTTCTCATTCTTTGAATTAGTGTCAAAGACCCACACAATTCCATGCTCAAGGTTATTGAGGGAAGCAAGAGTAACTTCTTCCTGTCCTTGGCCAAGTTATCTGCTCCTAGGCTCACTGACCACAGGAATAATGGAATTCCAGGCTTCAGGGCTGGCACCAGCAGGTCTAGGAGAGACTATCTTTCAAGGCCATGAATAAATTGACTCCTGAGGCTTTGTATCATTTTGTTTTTTTAATTAATTTTGTAACTAGGGATTGAACCCATGGGTACTTAACCACTGAGCCCCAGCCCCAGCCCTTTTTATTTGTCTTAGGACAGTTCCACTAAGTTGCTCAGGGCCTTGCAAAATTACTGAGGCTGGCTTTGAACCCTCAATCCTCCTGCTTCAGCCTCCCAAATTGCTAGGATTACAGGTGTGCACCATGCACCCAGCTTGTCCTAGAATTTTTTGATTCTCCTTCCTCAGCCTCCTTTTGGTTGACTCAAAAGTGAAGCAAATATTTTAGAAGTGACAGAACTATTCTACATCTTGGTTTTGGTGGTAAGAGATGGAAATGTTAACTAACTTGATTTAATTATTAGGCATTACAAACATGTATCAAGTTTTCACACTGTACCCCATCATTATCTAAAATTAAAATAATAATATGTAAAAAGCAATGCTTTGTAGGAAACCACAAAGGTGGATAAGACATTTTGCAAATCCCAGACGGTAGCTTGAGCAGAAGCACTGCACACAGGAAGTAGAACCCATACCAGAGAATCTACTTCAATAAGAACAAAATTCCTCTGAGATGGGAATGCCCCCGTCACCAGGTTATGTGCTGTACTGCAGACTCTCTGCTGCTGTATGTTTGGCACTCACAGGGGTTGGCCAGTGGCAATATTAACCACATCACACCAGGGACCACCGGTGCCCTCTTCACCATTAGAGTTATTGGTGTGTTGAAGTCACTAATTATATAAGTACATAACATGTACTTTTTACAGTATATTAACAGTTAATTATGTATCTGTATATATGATATATAAACATGTAAGACTCTGTTTCCTAGGACCACCTTCAATACCTTGTCTTTATCAGTCAGGGTCCACTTACAGAAGTAGAATCAGTAGTGTTAAAAAGTCAAGTCCCAGGCCTGGAGTCGTGGCTCAGTGGCAAAGTGCTTGCCTCACACGTGTGAGGCACTGGGTTCAATCCTCAGCACCACATAAAAATAAACAAATAAAATAAAGACATGCTGTCCATCTACAACTACCAAAAAAAAAAAAAAAAAAGTCCCATTGGGCTCTGTAGATCATACTTGTAATCCCAGCAACTGGGGAGGCTGAGGCAAGAGGATGGCAAGTTCAAAGCCAGCCTCAGCAACTTAGTGAAGCCCTAAGCAATTTAGCAAGACCCTGTCTCAGAAAAGGGCTTGGGGATGTGGCTCAGAGGTTAAGTGCCCCTGGGTTCAATCCCTAGTACCAAAATAAAGCCAAGTACCCTAGTGAACTAGTGATATATA